GTACCTGCATGAGTGCAATTCTTGAGTCCCTTCAGTCTCACCTCCATCTTTGCTGACAATCCTTGATACTTTAAGAACCGTAGTCGAAGTGGGAGAAAATAATGTAGATTACATGGAGCTGTCTGGTTTTTTGAGGAGTGAAATCACGGAATCTATTGAGTGGCTTAAGAATAATAATCGATTTTCGGATAATCTTGGAAATATGATTGTTCCATGAGAGGTTACTAATCGAAGATTAATCAGTTACCTTTTTCTGGTACTCAGTGAACGCAGAATTTACAAAATAATAAATTTTACTGATCCACCAGCCTTATATGAAGCACTAATAAGCCGAAACCTAGTCGGATACTTGAAAAAGGTACAATATCCAATTCAAGCTCTCTAAAAGATATATCGGGATCCAATTAGAGTAATTTAAGGAATTGGTTGGACCAACTTGAGCTATCAGCATATACCATAGTATTAGCATACTAGAGACATCTAGTATATTGGTCAACGGGTAAAACACACGTTACTCGGCAACCTAATAAGCTGAAGATTACGAGTTCGAATCCCGATGCTGTAGAGACTTTTAATTCTGGAATTAATACTACGTCTCCTCCACTAGCATAGGAAAATCTCTGTATAGCTAATAGTCCGTTTAATTAACATCATCCTGAAACTTCGTAAATAGTTTCATCTTACCGTAACTTACAAATATTGTATTTACGAAAATTCTAGGAATTCGGACGTGTTCAATCTGGAGATTGATAAACTTTTTCTATTTAATTCTTCTGCTTCTTTGGCACTACAACCCACGTGGGCACAAGATCTCCTTTAACAGCAGTCGCCAGGCATTTTTATTCAAAGCAACTGATTTTTGCAATTCGGGTCTTCCGATTGGCCTCCTTCCTAATAGCTGTTCAGTGAGGAGCTTCTTTGGAATTTTGCTATCAGGCATCCTAGCCACATTGCCTGCCCAGCGAAGTCGACCAATCCTAATAAACCTGACCACGTTAAGTTCCTCCAGTTCTGCATTGGTTCTCTGCCTCTTGATTAGCACAAACTGGATCCAAATATTCGGCGTTCTTATCGAAGTAAAAGACCTGGTCGAAGGTTTTCGATTTAGTGCAGCATTTTGAACCGTAGGTTAGTTAGTACTGGTGTTATTAGTGTCTTATACAAGCGTAGTTTTGTTGTTCGGAAAAAGGATTTGCTTTATGTGTTTTTGAATTCCGAAATGTCTATTTAATTAAATACTAAAAACTTTTAAGAAAAAATAAAAAGGTGGTCTCCAAAAATATTAGGCCTTTATAACCACGTTATTTTTATATTTTTTGGGTGTAGGTCACTCAAAGTGGCTCAATATTTTTAAAGGCCACTTTTTTTTTCTCGATTTCGTGCTAAAATTACCTAATGATTCAAGTGGATGGATGTTTACGGATGTAAAAGCAAATGGATGTTTACTGGTTTTTAGTAAATTCCAAAAAAATTCGTAAATAAAATAGTTGTAGGTTACGATGAAATGAAGCTATTTACGAAGTTTCAGTCGGGTGTTAATAATTTGATAGAAAGGGTCTGTACCACGGACTATAAAAAAACAAAATATTGAAAAAAAAAGAAACTGCGTAGTTCAAACTCTGGCTTGTGATCCAATCTCTTTGACAACTTGTGTGCGACTCTCACAGATAGCGTTGCGGTTCGCACCTCTTTTAGTGCTTGCAACATGAAATTTTTTTTTTAAAAAGTCATAAAACGAACGAGCAGAACACGTCATTGAATGACATCCTATTCATTTTCTTTAGATCCTCTATGATAAGAATCAAACTAAATATTAACGTATTCAATAATAACAAGAGACCTGCCGATCTGGTTCTTTTGATGCTCTATTATGTTTTATAAAACTGAGAACGCAAAATAACTCAGAAACTTAAGTATTTTGCATTGATAACTGCTTATAAACTCGCAATAATCTACATTCTGACACGACATACTCCATTCTAATTTACCATAACAGTTTATATACAACAATATACATATTTAAATGACTAACACTATTCAAAAGATAATCAGTTAATTTTATTTTGTTAATACTTACTAAATATACACCATTTTTTTTTGAGGGGGGAGGGAGGAAAGAGGATTAATTTCAACATGTAATTTACAAATACGTGATCTTTGCATCATATATCTTCGAATATTATAACAGCTTTGGAGGATATCTGTGATTAGTCGTCATCAAGGAATTGTATTCTGGTTCAGGCGTGAGAAATAGAAATTTGATGTTTCAATGATAAACGTACATAAATTTGTTCAGTGATTTGTTATCGATTTAACATATATGTTAAATATAGCATGCTAATATACAGAGGAATATTATCAGTACTAGGTTCCAAATTCAAAATGTATTCCGAATACAATCCATCCATAACTGTTTCAGTCGACACTTAAAGACGTTTATCACTTATGTAGGTACAGCATCATCCAGTCTATCTTATTTTCTATTACGATATCTCTTTCGGTGAAAAATATCAGAGAATTAGCAACAATATATATAAATACACATGAGAAATGGAGGGTTAGCTTAGGAAATGGTTTATTTGGTTTTTATTTTATTGCTTTTTTTGTAAGAAAGTTCTGTTCCTTCATTGCTAATGCAAGATGGCGATAGGTCTCAAGATCCATATCCATATAACAATTTTATATGTTCATTATATTTGTGTTAAATGTAATTTTTTTAGTCTGAAACTGCAATAAATAATTTGGTACTATTAATTAATTAACCTGTACCACTAACAACCCATGAATAGTCTTGGGATCAGTTCAAGGAGACGGGTCAATATCACGCTCAACCGTCAGGTTTTCCCTCTTAATCAATTATTTAATTAAGAGTACCCACTTTATAAAGGCTGGGTTTGTCCCAGGAGGGTCTCCCGGCTGCAGGGTCAACCCACGGCTGATGAAAAATTACTAGCCATCAGCCGGATTCGAACCTGGCACCTTCAGCTCTGGAAGTCAGTGCTCACTCACTACCAATCTCCAAGGTCTTGAGCTACTTCCCTCCATCTTCGAATGCCGCAGATCGTCCTCCAGAACCTCCAGCGATCTGACCGAGGGTATCCTATACTTCTTTTACTATTCGGTTTCTCATACTGCTTCCTCTTTGGCATTCTTCCCTGATGACCTAACCATCTAATTCTGGCTCTTTTTATCAATGTCCAAATATCAGGTTCACCATAAATTTCCCGCAGCTCCTCATTTCTTCTTCTTCTTCTCTAAACTCCATTCTCAAAGATTCCGACCCATATTCTTCTCAATACTTTCCTCTCCGAGGAGTTGAGCGTGCGTTATGAGCTTTTGGTTAAGGTCCAAGTCTCATACACATACATAACCACTGGCCTAACTATGGTTTTGTAGATGAGGATTTTGATTCTTTTAGAGAGTGATCTGAATTTCAAGTCTCTTTGTAGTGAGAAATAGCATCTATTTCCTGCTGCCCTCCTATTGCATACTGTATTTTATTATTGCATGTTACCAGGCTTCAAGGTATAAGGAAATTATATTAATAAATCATAAAGAAATAATCATTGTTTATGCTCTTTTGTAAAAAAAATTTGGACATACGTTCTTTTGCACGGACAGTAGCTCTATATCGTATAATAAGTATGGAATTTAATACTTTTGGGTATTATTGATAATCGATTATGTTTTCTAAGATTATGAAAATAACATAGATAAAACTTTCTTTTTCAATGATTCATTAGTTAAAGTTATTATTTAGTTATCTAGCTGCCTGAGATGTACAAATCACAAAATATTTTATCTTTATTCTCAGTGAATAAGTGAAAATAGTGAATTTGTCAAGAGATCTTTTTAAAATTTAAACGTCTTAAGAATCCAGAGACTTAAACCATTTATAAGCCATGTCAAATTTTACAATTAAGTGTTAAACTTAGTTTATTTCTGTTAAGAGTGGAGCAATTAACTTATTCACTCAGAGAACTGACACACATTCACAGAAAGTATATATGGCTTTAACCTTTAACAGGCAATTTATGATGTACGGAGATAAAGGGGAATTAACACGTAACCAACCTCTTGAAACCAGAAAACCAGAGTGGGAAGGTCGAGAAACATTCCAAATAAATTTTAATCCGACCAAGCCAGATTCGAATCTATCCCGTTAAGATTAGATATTGCTAAAATTATGACGCTTGAATACTCTCGAATATGAAAAACTGAATAATTTCCAACTACCGTTCTCAATCTACATTAATTCAAAGACTAAATTTTGGAATCGTTTAGGTACTTGTAGTTTCCCAAAGCGCCTTTACATTTTTCACAACACAGCGAGCACGAACACATATATTATTTGGTATGGCATGTGCATGCTTGTCTGTGACCTATTTAGCCCACATAAGTCAACTCATAGCTCAACTGATGTACGCTTTTCATACACACACACACACATATATAATATTACACTGTTTTTATTAACCGACCTTTATATATTATAACTTAAGATATCGATTATAGTTCGATAATAGGTCATGACTTAATGAACTTCATAAGTTCATGTCCTATTAATTGATATCTTAAGTTACATATATATATATATATATATATATATATATATATATATATATATATATATATATATATATATATATATATATATATATTTAAGTGGTTCAGAATATATTGTGGTGGCTGTACTTTAATGACATATGTATGTTAGAGATATATCATTGAAGTATATACAATGTACTTATATATGTGAAGTTTCTCGTATCTCAAACATCAAACCACGACCTGACGTGAGGAACTCTTTCTGAACTCTGGCAAGTCTCTTTGGGTCTGGGATACTCTCTCCCTAAGTATTCTAAACTAAAAAATTCCAACTCAATTAACGTTGATGATCTGACTGTTTTAGGACCTAATAAACTAAAAAAACAAAAAAAAAAAAAACAAGTTCGATGTATAAAACGCTTTTTTCTCTGAAATGCAAGAATAAACAGGTTTTTTTTTTGGTATACCAGATATTTATATGTGTTAGAGGGGCATTTAATAAACCTGTATACGTCCCTTGATGGATTCTCACACTTTCCTCAGTGAATGGTGCGGTTAGAAACAAGAGTTGGTAACGCACCGATTTTTCAGAGCCGCCTATTTTTCCGAAGGCCTATTGTAGGTACACAGTATGGATGGATACAAAAAAAAGTCTGAATTCTGAAGAATAATGACAGGTAACCTTAAAATTAAAATAAAATTACTACTTCATCTTGAATGTAAGGAACCAGAGGATTCTCGAGTCAAGAGAAGATAATCGATATCCACTTCTTGATGACTACCCATCACGTGAAGAGCTGTAACTTAGAGGAGACGACTAGTTGACGAGGAGTGCTGCGGGAGTTAGGAGGACCAAAAGGGCCCAAGGATTTGAAGGTGGTGGAGCGCTTCCTCCGGAGAGAGCACTCGCGTGACAGCTGAGGGTCTCAGGATGCAGGTCCACCAATGGAGTCCTCCTCTCCGTTCGAGGATCTGAGCACACGGCTTCCCGGACGGCCTGCAACAAAGTAAATAGTTAAGTGAAGAATCTGGGAGTACCTCAAGGTTACTAGTATGGTCACTACCTAGTTCTGCCATAGATACTGTTAGAAAAGTTGAACTTTGTTTATATCCTTGGGTATTTTTTAGATAATCCTTACCTCTATCAGGTTATTTTCTTTACATGTCAGGATAATAATCCCAATTAGTTGTATTTTTCTTTCGCTCAGTTAACATGGAGTGGGGTGATAAAGAAAACCTAATAGCTGTGATCGCCTTACTCACTTTGATGCCTTTGGATATCAGCCTTATGTTCCTGTACCGCGCTATAAATAGATATAATGAGACTATATATGTATGAGACAGACCTCGACCGGGCCGTCCCCGCACCGAGAGAACGGCAAATGCAGTGAGAGCAGTGGCTGCTCGAATCATAAGAAATCCCATCCGAAAACAACAACTCATGTTTAGGGAAATGGGAATCTCTGTCAGATCAGTGGTTCGCACAATAAAAAGTGACCTTAGGATGGGTGCATGTCGAAGAATGACAGGACAAAGGCTAACCACTTCCCCCCCAAAAAATTAGAGTGAATAGATTCTAAGTGCTACTTGGCCGTTACACCAACGGTCTTCATCAAAAGATTTTGTTTAGAGATGAGAAAATTTTGAAGAAAATTTTAATCGCCAAAATGGTCGTGTATATGCGCACAGCTCTAAAAAAGCTCAGAAAGTCAATGGAATGGTGGAAAGAGGGTATCATCCTTCCTCAGTGATAGTTTGGTGGGGAGATTGCTTTGATGGCACCACTGAGCTCCATCTTTGTGAAAAAGGAGTTAAAACAGCCGCTAAAAACTATCATGACGATATTTTGGAACCTGTTGTCAAGTCTCTAAATGATACTGTTTGCTGGAAGTCATTGGGCTTTCCAGCAGGATTCCGCTCCAGCTCAAAAGACCAGGTCAATTCAGCAATCGTTGCAAAAGAACATTCCAGAGTTCATCTTTACCTCGAACTGGTCCTCAGGAAGCCCTTATCTTAACCCACTAGATTATCGGCTTTGGTCCGAACTGGAGAAGATGGCATGCCACAGAGCACACCCTAACTTGTAAAGCCTCAAACAATCTCTGATCCGAGCAGTTGAGCGCTTTCCTCAAGAAGTGCTGCGTGCTGTTATTGATGACTGGCCACGGAGATTAAATGCCTGTGTCAAGACAAAAGGGGTACATTTTGAGTAACTTCTTTTTTGTTTTCTTCTCTATAGATATACATTTTATTTTCTAATAAAATTTTTGAGAAAATTAATTTTTCTGTTTAAATCTGTATATATTTCCTTGTAACAATATGACTAGGTAATATTGTAAAAATAAATACGTTTGAGTAGTGGTACTAACGATCGATAGCAAGAAGCCTCTCTGTTCAGGAGTTCCGGGAAGAAGGAAGAAAAGGAGAAAACTAAGATATCCTTCCCGTCACTCTATTTTACATATCTCCATCTCTATTTTCTATATATTGATACATTTGCTAATACGTTTTTTTTATTTACAATATTATAACTTTTATTCCCTTATACGTAGTCAGTATTTTGATAGATTTTACAACATTTTTATTTATATCTATTATTTCCTTATATAACTTCATACTTCTTTTATCTGTTATACACTTTATTCTAACGATCACCATTTCCATTTGTTATATTACCTTATTTTTTTTATTATGCTTATTTCATTGGTCCCGTGCTTTGATACCTGTTATTATCATTTATTTCTCAGTTCTCTGATACTGTTATCATTGTGCCTACTTTATTTTACTTTAATGTTCACTCTATCTACTTCATTTTATGTTTTTATAATGTTTTTCTACCTAAATTTTTAGACTATAACTTTCACTTTTTAAATTTTAATTCTTTATTATTCAATGTTTATAGTTTTTATACCTAGTGTTATCTGGTTCTTTTCTCAGCCCTGATGAAGGTCTGGACTTCGGGCCGAAAAGTCGGCGAATTTAAAAATAAATACAATTATTTATTTTGACTGATCACTCCAATCATTCTTCTATTCAGTTTTTAAAATAGTTCTTCATAAGTGGATAAACATAGAGTGTGAATGTGATCTGTGAACACTATTATAAATGTCCTTGAGACAGATTGTAATATTTTTCAATAAATAAGAATTCAGAGTTTAGAAAAAATAAGTGGATGAGATATTGACAAGTCTGACATTTCGTAGTAAAATGACGGATATTAATTTCGAGTTTCGGAGATTATCCTGTGAATTTGGCTCCTAATTTTAAAATAATCGGGACATCAGTCACCGAGGTAGCCAGAGGTGGCTTATAGAGAGATTTTTGGATTCTAGGTATCTTGAATTCGAGGACAGTATATGTATGATGTTTATGTATGCTATATGTATGATGTTTATGTATGCTATATGTATGATGTTTATGTATGCTATATAGATTACCTGAATGACCTGAGGCTCAGGAGCCGACCTGTGAAGTTGAAGGGACTCCCTGATCCACCGCCTCAGCCAGTGCCCCACCCACACTAAGCTGCAGTCACACGACCAAGGGTTGCCGCCCAGCATCAGTCCTCCTGAAAACATTTAATAAAACGTTCTTATAATAAAAATATTGTCAATATCGAACTAACATAATTATAAATAAATACCACTAAGAAAACTATTTATTAAAAAACGGGAGTTTTGGATTTACATATAACAACGGAAGGAAAACCGTTCTGGTATTTCTGTAAAAAATTAGTTTTGCTGGAACTCCTTGAGCTATATCGAGGAAATAACCACCGTCTAGGAAGGATGGCATATGCTGGTATATACCTTGCATCCTTCAACCATTATTTATTACATTCTGATAAATATTTTATTTTCTAACTACATAAACATAGATGTAAGGATAAATATGTTATTTTCTAAATAAATCAATATAGTTATAAACATTATTTAATCCTTACAGAAACTGATTACAGTTAATATCTCATGTTATGAAGGCAAGGATGTTAAGAGTGGGACATATAGGAGAAATCCATCAGGAAGCCCCTACAACATCACTGCACTACAAAACAATGATTGATGTACAAGAGATCACGTATAAGTTAAAAAAACAGGCGGGCTGATCGAATCAACAAAGAAGAAATAGAGCTGCATATGGCAATATGTGTTTGACTGAAGAGAAATATGATATGGGAAGGACTAATATGGGCTGTGATGGAGAAGACTGATTAAGGTGGCAAAATACCTATAAAACCATAAAGCCAAGAAAAACAATATATATATATTTTTTTTTTCCACGAACCGCCCAGCAAGGACCACGCGAATATCATTTCCGTTTCCTCTTCACAACCTCAGCCTTCCTCTTACTCCAATACTCTCTCATCCTCCTGGACTGTTCCTCTCGCTCTTCCTTAGTCCATTTTCTTCCTCCCACCTACAAGAACCCCAACCTCTTTCAGTTTTTCCCTAAAAAGCTTTCTATCAAAGCAATCTTTATCCGTGATTTTTAGCCTGTCTAGTTCCTCTTTTATTTGTTTTACATATCCCCCATACTTTTATAGCTGCAAACTTTGTCAAAAATTTTCTTATTCAGTCTTTCACTATTCATCCTGACCATGTGCCCGTAGAATCTCAGTCTTCAGGTCCTGACAACTATTTCCAAATCTTCTGTATATTTCTTTATTGGATTTTAGCCTATATACCTTTTGCGTTATCTTGGGTCCGTGAACCTTCTCAGAATCTTCGTAATTTTCTCTAGACTCGTAAGGCTGACTGTTTCCATACCATATAATATTACAGGTCTTGCTACTGTACAGTAATGCCTTATTTTTGCATTTGAGGACAAGCTTTTTTTGTTGTAAACATTCCTGGTGGCGAAGTTCAGTCTTTCCAGTTTGGTTATTTTTCAGTTAAAAAGTTTTTGATCACTTTTATTTTCCCTTATATATATAACGTAACATATTTTATTAGGGCTTTTATAAAACGTAATTATTAATGTATTTCATATTCATGTTTTGTTCTTTTATATTTTTGAACTTTGTGAACAAAATTCGTAAAATATTTTATTAATTTTAAAAATTGTAAAAACAATATTAACATTTAACTAGCGTTAAAGAATAAAAGGTACAATGTATCAAAGCTAACAGACTGAAGGTCCTTCTCTGTCGAAGGTAGTAGCCCAGTGAACTATGTATTTCATTTTGAGCATATTAATTAATTCTTTTTGTAATTATTTCTTTTGTAAACAACTAACGTTGTAATATTTTTAATATAAGTATTTATGAACTATAATTAAATAAAAATAAAAAGCGTTTGGACTAAGATATCTCAGGGCCTAATTAAAATAATTGTTACTAGTGTTGCCTCTCACTAACCTAACAGGTTAGTATATTTTTTTAGTATATCAGTATAGGACCTAACAGGTCCTAGTACTGTTTATTAGTTTAAATAAGAGCCTGGTCCCTAGGGCAGACACTCTCTTCCGAGTCACTACCTCTTCTCCCACAAGACTCCTGGAATCTCTCTGGCAGTTTGAAACCAGACCGTTGTGTTATTCTTTTACACTATCTGCTCTCCTTCGTCTCGCCATCCACTCTCTCCTAACCTATCCTCCATTATCCTTTCGTAGGATTAACATGGTTGTCCCACGTTTCCTGCAGTCCTCCTTGCGCATTCTCAGATTGTCTCTGGGAGTGTGAGGTTATCTACCCTTGCAACGTAAGAGTTGCCTTCTCTGGTTGCTGAGCCCTGGATGTTATAGAGGTTGTCCCCCTATCATTTTTGACAATTATCGCCTTATATACCTTATCCGTCTCTTTCTGTCTAAACTTATACACTCCACAACTTTCTTTAAATAAAGCGTAAATAGATACTGAAGGATCGGTAAAGTTAGAAGGACTGATTATATATTTTAAAGGGGAAAGATTATATAGTAATCAGAGAGATATTACAATATATATATCTTTAAACATAATTATTTAATTGAGAATAAGGTCACTTATTAATTATTCAATAAACTACTAAATGTTCATTGCTTCATTCATTTATTCGACGTTTCGATCCCGTTTTTTTATAAGTTAACAATGAGATCCTCTTAAAAGTTTGAGCTTCCTTCGATACCTCAGGCCAGGGACACACCGACAGTCTCAGCACCGTCCACCAGAACATATATTAAGCTACTCCAGTTTTCGTTGAGAACTCAGATTCGAAAATTTTCACGATCACATTACTTTCCCTTACTATATATTACATATAAGGGTAAGTGAAAGTAAAAAATGATTGGGTAGGGTATGGTGCCTAATTCGTGAGAGAGGGAGGGAAGGAAAACTATAAAAATTGTACTATACGCATTTAACTTTTATTTACAATAGTGGTACAATAAAAACAATTATTTTTACTGTTCATTTTTCCTAGAGTCTAGCTCTGTACTTGCTTGTGACCAGTCGCATTTGCGATATAGTGTGTTTTCTGATTGCTGTCTTTGTGTTGTTTATGTTGTTGTTGTTTTTTATGTTTTTTTTTACTGTTAATTAACTTTTTTAGACATGGTTTGTGAATTGTAGTGTTTTTTTTATAAGTGTAAATAGTTTTGAATATTGAGGTTAGAAAGCCTCGCATGGTTTTCCACGAAATTTTGACCTTAGTACATAAAGACTATTAATATCTAGAGATATTAGAGATAGAGAAAGACTAAATATTAATATCTAATTAGAGTATCATAATTAGAATAATTAAAGTTTCTCAGAAAAGACTCTTTTTGAAATCTGGTTGAGGTAAGTTATTCATAACCTATCCAAATTCGTTTAATAAATTGTATTATTGTATTGAGTTATCAAGGACTACCAAAAGAAAAAAAAAATAGAATCCTTTATTAGCAAATATAATAGGAAGTTCCCATTGGAACTACAAAAGAATTATACAAACAATTGCTGATAACTATTCCTAAGGTATTTTAAATTAGATAGGTTAGAACTGTTATCACTGCAGTAATTAGTGTTAAAACACTATTTACTATGGACGATAGTGTTATAGAAATGGAAGAAGAGATAGAAGATGAGAAAAAACCTAAAAGATCAAGACCTGTAGCCAAGAGAGCCAGGAATGGATCGCCTGATATAACAGACCAAAAAGAGAGTAAAACGGATCCGTTGTTAGTAGAGGCGAAGGCCATTCAACAAAACTTAAGAGTTTACCTTACGAACGTGGATAAAAGATTAAGTGTGAAAACACAAAAAGATATAAACGGTAAAGTGAGTCATCTTATCGATATCATGGAAACCGTCATCGATAGATCGAAAGAACAGAGAGCATTAATTGAACGAGTTGTCAAGGAGACACTATCATCTCCTAGCGTGTTTGACAAAATCACGGACATTCTCGTTGAACGATCTCTACCTAGAATTTTCGAGAGGCTTCCAGCAGCGGAAACACAAAACCACAACCCACCGCCTAAAGCTGGAACATCTGGGATCAATTCATTAAACAATGAATTAATAATTAAACCTTCAGAAGTTTTAGAATCAGAAGATTTTGCTATAGTTCAAAGTCGAAGAAAAAAGAAAAACGTTAAAATGATAGCCAAAAAGAACGAGGAAGTAAATGAGCAACTGAAAGGAGTACAGAATAGTTCTAATGCGTCAATTTTACCCCCGGCAAAGAAAACTATGGCGGACATAGTTAAAACGCTACCGATTAAACCTAAGGAAAATGCACCGCGGCATGCGTTTGTTACAATGGCTAGAGGAGGGAAATCTGCTCTAGAAATTGTTAGCGAATTACCATCTCCGAATGAACTAGGAGTACAGGCAAAAGTGATCCGTACAACCAAGGCTGGTGCTGTTCTCGTACGCGTAGAAGATGAAAATCAAGCCATCATGCTTTTACAGTGCCAAAAGTTACTAGAGAAAGGGATAGAAACTAAGATGCCATTGAGGAGAAAGCCTAGACTGTAGGTAAGGGGAGCACCTCACTATTGGACCGCATCTGAATTGGAAATGGTAATATGGGGAAGATTGCCTCAGGGGACAATACCCATTGGGCTAGAAAGAAAGGAGTGTGTCCAGGCATGTTTCTCTTCAATAGCAAGAGGAGGCCTTACAAGGAATTGGGTGATAGAGGTTCATCCGATGATAAGATTTGGCGTAATACAAACATCAGTTATTGATGGAGCATGGTGGTCCTTGAACTTTAAAGATTATATAGATCCTCCTTGCTGCATGAAGTGTCTGGGATATGATCACTCTAAGGCGTCCTGCACAGCAGACTCTCTGGTTTGCAAATGGTGTGCCTGCCCAGGTCACATAGCTAAGGAGTGCCCAAGAAAGAAGGAAAGGGCAGAACCGATTTGTGCGAATTGTGTACGAGAAGGGAAACAGAAACACCTGGCCAAGCACCAAGCGGGCTGTCAAACTTGCCCAGTCCATTTAAAAAAGACCCAAGAACTAGCGAAGAGAACCAAATATGAGTAACAAGATTACTATCCTACAACTTAATATGGGCCGACGGCGTCTTGTATCTGATGAGCTACGAGCTCTAGCCCATCGCTATGACATTTTCGCGGTTCAAGAACCAGGTTGCTATAGGAACATGGTCACGGGGTTTGGCCTCACGTCAAGGGTTATAGCCTTGAGCAGTGGAGAGGGGAGGCCCAGGGCTGCTATAGTTATCAATAACCCCAACCTTGACGTGATGGAACTGAGGCAGTATACCATGGCGGACCGTGCTATATGTTACATAAGATGGGGCAGGATTGCTTTTACACTGATATCTGCCTACATGCACGATAGAAGAGATGTTGAAGAGAATATATCCGCC